CTCTTCTAACATCCATTTTTACCTTTTCCTTCTTTCTTGTCTTCTTAATGACTTTTTGCTTTCTTCATGTATGATGTTCTTGGTGTCATCCCACAACTCTTCTGGTCTTTGGTCTTTCGTGTTTAATATATCAAATCTGTTCTTCAGATGATCTCTAAATTCAGGTGGGATCTATTCAAGGTCATATTTTGGCTCTCGTCGCCTTGCTTTCATTTTCTTCAGCTTCAGTTTGAATTTGCATACGAGTAATTGATGGTCTGTTCCACAGTGTGCCCCTGGCCTTGTTTTGGCTGATGATATGGAGCTTTTCCATTGTCTCCTTCTGCAGATGTAGTCAATTTTATTTCTATGTATTCCATCTGGTGAGGTCCATGTGTTTAGTTGTTTCTTATGCTGTCTAAAGAAGGTATTTGAAATGAACAAATCATTGATTTTGAAGAATTCTATCATGCGTTCTCCAGCATCATTTCTATCACCAAGGCCATATTTTCCAAATACTGATCGTTCCTCTTTGCTCCCCACCTTTGCATTCTAATCACGAGTGAATGCATGTTTGATCAATTTCAGATTGAAGAAGTTGGTAGAATTCTTCTATTTCATCCTCACTGGCTTTAGTGTTTGGTGCATACATTTGAATAATAGTGGTATTAACTGGGCTTCCCTGTAGGCACATGGATATTATCCTATCACAGAGAGCGTTGTACCTCATGACTGATCTGGATATATTCTTTTTGACAATGAATGCAACACAATTCCTCTTCAATTTGTCATTTCCGGCATAGTAAACCATGTGGTTATCAGATTGAAAATGGCCAATACCAGTCCATTTCAGCTCCCTAATGCCTAAAATATCAATGTTTATGCATTCCATTTCATTTTTGACAACTTTCAATTTTAATACTCAATAAATAGTGGTATTGGTGGTAATTGTGTGCCATAGAGTCGATTCCAACTCGCAGCAACCCTGTATAGGGTTTCTGAGGCTGTAATTCTCTGAAAGTCTACTCTTTTTCCAGCGGAGCATCTGGTAGATTCAAACTACTGACCTAGTGGTTAGCAGCCCAGCTCATAATCACAATGCTACCAGGAAACCTTCAATGAATAGTAGCTGTTTTGTAAAAAACAGAGGCTTCCATAAATCCCAGAATTCTCTACTATTTGCCGACAGTGTCAGTTTTGGCTGTGTAGCAAGATCTGTATTCCTTCGCTGTGTTAGGGTCCCCGTGTCTGGGTTTCCAAAGCACTCTGGATAACAGTCTATGTTTTGTCCCCACTGGTATCTCCTGCCACCCAAAGTCTCCAGACTAATCTCTTGATTCAAGGACTGTGTATCACTTACTCTCACTCGCTAAATCCCAGCTCCAACTAGTACAAAGGAGCTCTGGTAGCGTAGTAGTTATGAATCGGGCTGCGAACCGCAAGGTCAGCCTTTCGAAACTACCAGCTGTTCCATGGGAGAAAGATGAGGCTTTCTGCTCCTGTAAAGATTTACAGCCTTGGAAACCCTGTATATGGTCGCTATGAGTCAGAACCGACTCCATGGTACATAGCCACCAACCACCACCACCTAGTATAGTGCCTGGCACATGGGAACACAGAGTAAACAATGGTTGAACTGAAACCAGCAACCTTAGTCATGGTTGGCATTGCCAGTTTTGTTTTCATCTCTGGGGTTGGGTTTGATTAAGGAATGTTGGACAAAGAGATAGCTTTTATAAGAGGAAATTCCTGTCTTACAGTTTATAGCAACCATCACCAGGGAGATTATTGTGGCTACTTAAAGGGCTCATTATAAAATTTAAAAATCCTAAAATCAATGTAGTTTACATCAACATAAAAATGGAGGAGACCTTTTGGAATGGACCCATGTGTGGTGCCTCTATTCCAGAAGGACTTCTTATTATAGGAACCCCACGAGAATGGTGACCATCCTTGTGTTAGCACTAACATTTCCTCATTCTCTTAGAGGAGTCCTGAAATTGTTTTGACCCTTGTATAGGTTTTCCAAGGAATTTCTGATGGGTTTGAACTGCCAACTTTGTGGTTAGCAGTCCCCACATATGTGAAGGGGCTTCAAAAAGTTCAGGGAAAATCAAATTATAAGATAATGGATTTTTTTCCACAAACTTTTTGAAATCCCCTCGTGTTTGTTTTCCAGTCAACACCACCTATTTGCATCCCTGAATTCCCTGAGTTATTTATACAGCCAACTTTAAAGCATGTTCTAACATTATTTTTTCCAAACTTTGATGGACATCTCCTTTTTCTAGTACTATATTTTATAATAGTGAACAAGTCCATGTTCATACTGTATGTACTATTATTATTGCAATATAGAGTCCTGCTGTTATTTGTTGTTAAGTGCCATCAAGTGGATTCCACCTCATAGCAACCATGTATAGGGTTTCCACGGAGCAGTTGGTGGGTTTGAATCATCAATCTTGCAGTTAACAGTGTTTTACTTATGCTATAGGACCACACCAGTACTTCATGCACATCAGGACTCCATGTAGAGTCCTTCTTGTTGTTGTTGTTAAGTGCCATCGAGTTGTTTCCGACCCATAGCAGGCCTGTATAGGGTTTCTGAGGAGCTACTGGTGAGCTTGAACCACCAACCTTGTGGTTCAAACTGACCTTGCAGCCCAGTGTTTTAATCCACAGTGCCACACCAGCATTCCATGTAGAGTCCTAGACCTCCCCAAACAGTATCTAAATCAAAGCATAACTCTACTTGATGCAACTAAAGAGACGTTTCCAGTATCAATTATTTTATTAGTATGAAGCTGAAAATAGGTTTCCCAAGGACTTTGGGTTCCTAAATTGGCTGGTTTATTGGACGTCCCCCTAAATAATCAGGCTTTCATGTCCTTTTGGAGCATCTTAGTCAAGAGAAGCAAACTCACTATGAGTTCTTCTTTCAAGGTATTTTCTTTGGTGTGATCCCACTCTTGCGGTCAAAAGTTTATAATTACTATAAATGCTTAAAGGACCATTTTGTTTAGTTTCCCCAAATACGTAGCTTAATGTTCTGAACATGATCAATCTTGTTTTAATTAAATGCCTTTTTCAGTACTGTTTTTCTGCACTTAATCTCAGTTCAAAAGGAGAAAGGTAAAGTTCAAATTTGGTAACACTATTTCTGACCTATGTGATAACTGGTCAAAAAAAGGGAGTGAGCCTTTATAAAAATGAAATATTTTCTCCATGTAGCCCTAGTTATGAAATCTAGAGAAAATGAAAGGGACTTTCATCTTATGACAGGTTTTGATTGAAACCCTTGTATGGTTCAGAAGGTTCTTGTGCTAATGAACAGGGTTACGTATCACCTTATAGCAGAAAAATGGCAAAATTTGCTGTTGGGTAGGGGTCCGTGACGGTGTACTCCCATTTCTCAGATAAGTCATGTTCTCCTTGGTGTCGGTCGAGGCACTATGGGGCAATTCCATCCTATCTCTCTGTTTTTCTTCCATTTCTCTGATTCTTCTCCTTTCATGTCTTTCCCATCCTCTCCAACCACCCATCACCTGCCTATGTTGTCTTTAATCTAGTCACAGGTACCCACAGGCTGTTAAATGCCATCTAAGACAGAAAGCTTGGCTCCATCATACATATTGAATGCATTATGAGAATGGTAAGGTTTCACAGTTGAATTCAGGGAGACATTAAGAGTGTATGAGTGAGAGCAAGGGTAATGGAGAGCTCTTTTGTTCTTAAAACATACCTGAAAGTCATAAGCAGAATATGGTGGCAGGTGAGGAGGGCTATGGTAGTAGGTATTGTAGGACGCCACTTGGGGGCGAGCATAGTAAGAAACAGTTGGATGGGCATTTTCAACAGAGCAATTCAGTGCCGGGAGAGTTGGATTCTGTTGAAAAACACAAAGTAGATATAACATGAACACTCATCACTAAGAAAATGGTCAAATATGCTATGGTACAACCATACTATGGAATAACATGCAGCTATTATAAGTGAGAAAGATGAGGCTTTCTACTCCCGTAAAGATTTACACCCTCGGAAACCCTGTACAGGGTCGCTATGGGTCGGACCCGACTCGATGGCACTCAACAACAACAACAATTATAAGTGACACAATAGACCATTGTTGTTAAGTGCTGTCCAGTTGTTCCTACTCATAGCAATCCTGTATAGGGTTTCAAAGGAGCGGCTGGTGAATTCAAACTGCCCTTGTGGTTCAGTGCTTTATCCTACAGTGCCACACCAAGACTTATAGTTGTACAGAGTATATTGCTTAATGAAAAAAAATGCCCCAGAGGTATATTAATATAACACTATCCCAAGTTGTGTTTTTTTAAAATACCCAAACAATTTATATATATATATATACTTTATATACACACACACATATTGTTGTTGCTGTTAAGTGCCTCCGAGTTGGCTTCAACTCATAGGAACCCTGTATAAGGTTTCTGAGGAGCAGCCGGTGGATTTGAACCACTGACCTTGCAGTTCAAACTGACCTTGTGGTCCAGTGCATTGTCCTGTAGTATGTGTGTGTGTGTATATATATATATATTAGTGTTTTGGTGTGGATAAGCACTGGACCTCAAGGATGGTTTAAACTGTGAAGTTGGTGGTTCAAACTCACCAGCTGCTCTTCAGAAACCCTATACAGGGTCTCTATGAGTCGGAATCAACTCGACAGCACTTAACAGCAGCAACATATATAGCAAGAGAGAGAGCCGTGGTGTGGTGCTGTAGGGTAATCACTGGACTGCTAATTGCAAGGTTAGTAGTTCAAACTCACCAGCTGCTCCTTAGAAACTCTACACAGGGTCACTATGAGTTGTAACCAACTCGATGGCATTTAACAACAACAACAAGTATACTTTAAATGCAAATAAATTAATCTGGAAATATTCACACAAATTGCTAACTGTGGTAGGGGAGGGATAGGAGTAAGTATTAGGGAGAGGGGTTGACCCTTCACTTTCTACCCTATATACTCTAAAGTTCTTATAACTAATATGTATTGTGCCTTTTCCCCAAACATTTATTTTGAAAACATCAGACCTATAGAAGAGTTGAAATAATCGTTTATTAATTTTTAAAAAGAAAAAGATAAGACCCAAAATATAAAATGCCATATAGACAAGGCTAAACAGGCTACTTCTCTTGCTGTGACCGAAATGTGTTGGACCACAAAGGGTTTGTAAACTTGTGAGGATTGTTGCATATTCCAACCTCGTTAAGGAGCTCTCATGCAGACATGAAGAGTATTCATTTCCCACCAGCCTTTCAATGTAGAAGCAAAATCCCAAAGGTGCACAGAACTCATCAAAGACCAAGTAAAGTATATTGGGGGTCTATGTATGTTTGCTTCTTTGTCAATTTTTGTTTGCCAACCCACACAGTGCAGAAATAATATCATTTTAATAGCATGATGGTATGTGTTGCCCTTCAATGGATAAAGCTAATATTGTCCTGAATAGGGGGGTCTTGGTCTCAGCAGGCCATGTCACTGCTAAAGGAAATCACCACTTTTCATTGGTTCACAAGCAAGACTGTGCTTTGTACCTTCTAAGTGTAACCTTGGTCAAGGTGTGGAGTAAACATTTTTTCTGTATGCCATGTTACTGACTCTTCCTCTGTGTGTGGATAATTGAGAGCTGTTTGCAAAATCAGTGTGTCTTCTCTCCGCTACATTATCTACTCCACATCAATGGAGAGCCGAAGCTTCTTTTAAAGTGAGGACAGGTTTTGGCAGTGGCACAGGCAATCATGTTAACCGGGGAAACACCCTTACAACAAATTTGAACACAATTCTGCTGCTCCTTTCCTTGGAGTGGACTGCTGTTTACATCTCTAGGCGGTTGGAAGAGCTACAAACTTCAGGCATTATGATACAGTTCACAGACCACCAGAGAAATATTTGTCAGCTTCTACAATGTGTGAGAGAGGGCGGCCGAGCTCTCTACGATCGCAAGGACTGACTTGCTTTACAGAGGAACAGCGATCATAAATGCCCTTACCTCGTCACAAAAATTCTAAGAAGAAATTGTTTATTTGGGTGACTCCCAGAAATCATGTTTCCTCAATTAAAAACATAACCCTCCACCTCCTGTAGCAGGAAACCAGCTATTCTATGCAAATAAACTAAGCCTAACCCTGGGGAAACAGTCATGCAATATAAACTATATCTGTAAGGGTGCTATGTGTGTGGTGAGGCCAAGGGTCCAGGATAATCTTTGAAAGAAAAGATTACTATTATTGAGAAAAAAACATAGAAGGATGAAAGGAAGACTGAGTGAGCACAGGGAGGCCACAGAAGAGGAGAGAATCAAGTGTGAGTGATGTAAGAGAAATGGATAGAACAAGACAGTGACATTCAGAAGAGGGATTGAAGGGGATGGGGTATAGAGTTGGGGAGGAAAACGGCAAAAGAGATAGTCCAAAAGAATCATCTGTTTTAGTTTTAAGCCAATAATTCTGATCTTACAAAAAATTTGACTCTATTTGTGTGTGTGTTGCCGTTAAAATTCTAAAGATAAAGTTGCGAGACCCCCATTATTGATCAGTAGTATTCCAAAGTCCTATAAAACAAAAGATTACTAGGTGGCACAGGAAACTGTGAAAACAATCTTGCCTGGACAAAACTGAGTCTATTCTGAGACAGTGATTATAGACTTTGGAAAGAATGTCACTTTTATTCTTCCTCAGTTTACTCCAAACCAGAGACACTAATAATGAGAAAATGGCAAGAAATAATCACTTTTTACCTTCACCTCAAATCCTTATATCTTTGGCCAATAAACACTTCATCAGACATTTCTTTATTAAGATCCTTTTAACTAAGCACCTTTGGTTAAGGAAGGAAGGCATCCTTTTTCTTTTCAGAATCTCACAACTCTGGAAATTCTGGCTCCTTGCCCATTGTATTCAAGGCTGCCAACTCACAGCCTTTGGCTTTTCTCCTCACTCCCTGGGATTGGTTCCCATCATCCAGTACCCCTGGTCTCCCTTCAGACCCCAGAACACTCTACTTAGGGAGGAGGGATACCACCAATCACATTTGGATCTGAGGCAACAATTTTGTTCAGGTTCAACTGGTTGATGTTCTGGGACTTTTACCCCACGTTCTTATTTATAAAAAGTGATCAAAGTAATGCTTCCTCCTTGGTTGCCCCTCACTTCACGAATAAAATATCTGGTATTCTAACTTCTGCTTTCATTTTACCCATTGGTTTTTGACTGAGTTCCTAAGTTTAGCCTTTGAAACTCAGTATTTCTTTGGTTTTTCACCCTTACAGCTCTAACAGTAGGAAATAATGGGATTTTGTTTTATTTATTTTTAGCTAAAGCAACAAAACAACAAAGATAATGTGTGTAAAAATACTTCTTGTTGTTAACTGCCGTTGAGTCAGTTCCGACCCATAGTGACCCTGTATACAGTTTCTGAGAATCGACTGGTAATCTTGAACCACTGATTTTGTGGTTCAAACTGACTTTACAGTCCAGCACATTAACCCACAGTGCCATGCTAGGACTCTAAAATCACTTGAAGAATCAGAAAATAATATCCAAATGTTATTTAGGGGCAGCTGAAAAGGCATAAAAGTAGAAAAGGTTCTGGCATCTGACAAACCTGAGCTGTAGTAACTCTGGGTACATCTTTGACCTCTCTTGATTTGTTTCTTCATCTGTTAAATGAGAATAATAATACCTACCTTAGAAGGTAGTGGTGAGAATTGAAAAAGCAACTGTGCAAAAGAACTTTGTGGATAGTTGTTAGATGCCATCGTGTCCATTCAAACTCATGGTGACCCTATGCATAATATACCGACACTGCCTGATCCTGTGCCACCCTCATAATAGTTGTTCCATTGATGCTGCCATTCTTTCAATCCACATTCATGAGGGTTTTTCTCTTTTTCACTAGCCCTTCATGTTACTAAGCAGGGACTGATCCCTCCTGATACTCCAGGGTCTGATCCCTCCTGATAACATGATCAAAGTATGAGAGACAGAGTCTCTGTCCTGGTTTCTAAGGAACATTCTGGCTGTACTTTCAGCACAGATTAATTTGTTCTTCTGACAATCTATGACATATATATATATATTGAAGTTTTTATTGTGAATTGAGTGATAGTTGACATGGGAGAGCATCAGCTTTACATTCATCCGCTCATATTTCGTTTCATTGCAATGATCGCAATCCCCTCCATGCATCATTATTCAACAGCATTTGCTTCCAATCCTTTTGTTTGTTGTTGTTGTTTTATGTATACTGAAGCACTCAGGAATATATAACCATTCAAACAACCAAAGGGTATACCCTGCATGCCAGCACCCCGGCCACCAGCACACAGCCTCTCTCCTTCCTTGAGTCTAGAGTCCCCAGACACTCCGTCTCTCCATGTCATCATCCCTGCCTCCATTTCTGGCATTGCTGCTTCTCTGGATAGGGTCCCACACTCCACTCTTCTCCCTTGATGGTCCCAGGGTCCTCCGCTCCTGAACTGCAAGATCAACCACTCCCCTCCTTTTGTTACAAAACATCTACATTTACATTTGCAACATTCATAATCAATCCTGATAGCAATTATTCATTATTGGACCACAAGAGGCTTATCCCCATCTCCTTTCACCAGTCCCATCTAGACAGGTTGGAAAACACTCAGTGGAGATTCTACCTTCCCCCACACCCTCTGAAACTAATCTCCCTCTTGAAAACTTGTAAGCCGGTCACTTCATGCCTTTGTAGCGCCACCCCCACCCCCTCATTTTGGGTAGCCAATTCCTAAGTAATCTATGATATTTTTAATATTCCTCTCCAACACAATAACTCAAATGCATCAATTCTTCTACAGTCTTTCTTATTCATTGTCTAACTTTCACATTAAT